CAGGCAATGTCTTCTGTGGCAAAAAAGGAGCAAGAGGAGGGCAAAATTGAGTTGCAGTCTGTAGGTTTTTATGTTTAATGCCCAAATGAAGATGTGTGGCAATTCATTAGTGTAGAAGTTTGAGAATGTGGGGAGTGGTTAAACTTAAATTTCTAAACGCTGAGAAATGCAAAGTTAAGATTCATACCCTTAGCCCAAACAAGTGGCACTGTTCCCTCTTAGACCCTTGTGTTTTCTTTTATATGCCTTGATAGTTGGAAAAAGTTGTGTTTTAAAATACAAGATATATATAGAGATTACAAATATGAAACTGCATTAACTGAAGTTTTGCTTATTACAAACTATTAGCACACAGACAATATTTATGGGAGGCTAATTTATGCAAAAGACTTCATTAACATAAACCTCAGTTTTGAAATGAACTTTAGGGGCAGTTTTTCTTCAAGCATTTGTTCATTTGCCACAATAGATGTATGTGCAAACAGGCCATTCTGATGTCACAAGTATTTTAGAAGTAACCATATAAGCAAACTGATATGGATTGTTTCCACTGTATTAACTGTTACTTATGGAAGTAGCAATTCAGAGTTTAGGTTTCTAAATGTATTTGAATCTTGATGGCTTGTTAGTTCACAGGCAATTGCACCAAAATGTAAACTATACATCTGTTTTCCATAGTTTGGAAAGCAAAGATAAGTCATTACTGAGAAGATAACAGAGTTTATTACTGTTTGTTTTGATTTTATGGCAGGAATGGGCTCTCTGATCCTGGAAAGCTGACCTAGGCATCAGCAAGCATCATCCCCTTTTCCATAGCTGCTTGTTTGTAGTTGTTATATCAAGTCAGGTGAAACTAATATGAACACATGGATAGTTGTGTCAAAAAAATAATTGTGCTGTCCATATTGAATGGGTCCATAATGATGTTACCTTTTTTTTAATGTTCAGTCTCTCTTGAAGGAGATCTGCCTGGATCAGGGAGATCTATTTGACTTGCAAATTCAAGGCAAAGTGATTTTGGATCCTTCTAAAAATCAGATATGCACAAATATTAGCTAAAGTTAAAGGCTGTTCTACAAACTTGAAATTACCCATCAAGTTATGAACAAAAAGCAATGCTGAACTTTGAATCAGATCTGTGCCTTTCCTTTCTTTTTTAAGCCATACATGAAGAAGGGAAATAATACATGCACTAGATATTTGTAGAACTCTTTCTTCTATATATGGTAAAACCCTTTGAAAAGCTTCCCAGATTAAAACAGAATATGGGAGCAGGCTTACAGACTAATTCATTTTTAGCTAAGATTCTCTGGCTGGTCTTTAACTGTATTATATTTTGTCAAGTATTGCTTGGTGAGAAAACAAGTATCTTGATGGTCAGTGGATATTCAGTAACAGCTGAAGATTCTTGAATACATTCTCTAAGTAACCTTTTGATAACAGCAATCAAACAAAACCAAGAACTTGTTCTTCCTCCAGCAAGCAACTAGTAAGTAAGTAATGGGCAGCATTGCATACATTTGGAGAAGCATTGAAGAAGTGGCTGTTCATGGATGCAGTTGTTTGAGATTAGTTGTTCTTACAGCTATTCTGTGACTTGCCTTTCAGTTTCATTAATGTGGAGTTTGTTAGTGTGCTGTTCTTTACAGTGAGACAAAGATTTTGTTATGATGGTCCTTGTGGGTTTTTTTGTTTGTTTTAATAGTTGCAGCAGCTTTGAGAATATGTATAAGTGATGTCTGAAGAACACTGTTGCCTATAGCCCATTTCAGGCATATTGTTTACACTGATCACACACATTGCAAAAAATGGAGTTACTCTGCTGATGAGGACAGTTCTTCAGAAAGCTAATTTATCAGGGCATTCTTACTAACTTGTGGAGTAACTTTTTAGTAAAGTTACTTTCTTCTAAGGTATTTAAAAAGCCAGGCAAACCAGAGGTGAATGTAACTGATTAAAGTGGAAACATGAAAGTAGGTACGAGGTCTTAGAAAACTCACCATAGAAATGGAAAAACTGAAGGTGATCATACATGTTTTTGTAGATACTTTCAAAGATGTTTGTGTTGTATATTCTTTTCATTCTTTTTGAAAAGTATCCCATAAACTGAAAAGGCATTAGCATGAGTTTTATAACCTAATGTTTGTTGCCATGTGACTGGATTCTCATGGTGAACTGGATTCTCTTAAGTATTTCAACTACCCTGAACAAATAAACAGTACCTTCATTATAAAATACGGAGGTATAAAAGAAGGAATTTCGTAAGATGTTTCTCGTGAAGATTGGGTTGCCCTGGCTCAACATAACATAAGTAATAGAGTAAAATAAATATTAATTCTTGACTGGAGTCCCACAGTATATAATATGCCTGGATTATTTCAGAAATGATGGGGAGTCCTTTTCCATGTATATCAGAATTGTAGATATATGTGCAGTCATGCTTATCTCCTTTGTACTGCATGAGTAAAACTCTCTTTAGATTTGGTTATTTGCAATCCTCAGCAGCTAAAGAAACTGGGCATGTGGCAGACTTGCTCGGGGGAACATTGACAAAAACAATAACTTTAAAGATAGCTTATAGAGAACTTTACAATAATTCTATTTGTTCTATTTTCTGCTGTTCCCAACTTGAATAAATAAAGCTTTACATATTACCTAATAAAAGAAAAAAGAGTAAGCTTATGCTGTCATTTGAAACAGCTGTAATGAGAGTGCAATTCAAGCATTAGTTGAATTTAGCACTCAAGAACGTAGAAAACTTAGAACTTTTGAGAAGGAAATAAAGTTATTTTTCCAAATATTTAAAGTACTTGCATTGTTATTTTTTCATTGATGTCTAATTAATACTGTGGTAATTGATTTGTTTTTAAAGACTGAGTAGTGTTCTACCCCAGCAACAAAATCAATAAGGAAAACAAGAATAGATATTCCTAGGAGGTAGGAGAGTAGCAGCCTGTGATTTTTGTTTGTTGTTTGGGGATTTAATGCAACTTTTTTTCCTTTACTTGTAACTGGCTTTTGCCAGTAGGCTTTATGCCCTATGTGTAGTCCCGCTGACTTCAATGAAATTACCAACAGTGCATAAAATTGAGAATATGTGTTAGAGATCCAGGATCTGAGGCCCTCTAGCAATTTCACCTGTGGAAATTGTCTTAAAACTTGTGTATGTGAATTTTCCTGCAGTCTGGGGCTGGATGTAACAAAGTCTCTTCAGGCACTGTATAGGCATACAAAAAGACATGATGTATTAGTGTGAGGACACCACAACTCAGCTGCACGGCTATGCAGCATCCAGATTAGACCTGGCAGTCATCCAGTCAGCTGGTGGTACACACAGAGGAACTGATGTGTCTGTGCTGGCATACTTCTGCCTATCTTCAGTCAAGTGCCCAGCGTGCAAAGAATAACCATGTCACAGCAACATGTGAAAGATTTTCTAGCATTTTTGAATGCAATATTGAGAATTTAGGTAACTTTGGCAGGTGGTGATTATCTAAGGATGACAACGTAACACAAATAAATAAGAGTGACTACAGCATGGGGGAAGCAGGGACAACTTTAGCTATCGGTTTTACTTTATAGATATTTCCCTGCCTCAGTTCAAAAACCCCAATATTTTAAGTTAATTCTTTTTTAAAAATGTACTTAAATGAGATGACTTGCTGAACATACTTGAGAATTACACAATAATAATTTCCTGATTGTTAGTTTTGTTGCTTGTAGAAAAACTGATACAATAAAAATTTTTATGGATGTAGATATATGTAAAATCAGTAATACATGAGACTTTTTAAAAATTTTGTTGCTGGAAACTATTTTCTCATATTAAGGCTCTTCTGATTCCAGTTAAAGATGTTTAAGGAGGGAAAGAAAAAAAGAAAAAGACTAAGATTAGAAGATAGGATATAAGTGTAAAAATGGAAATAAATTTTACAAAGCTACGTTAGTGATACAGTGAATGCAATTAAAAAGTGAATTATAATGCAGAAAATGATTTTTTTTTTGAGGACTCTGTGTGTGTGTATATAGCAATTGGCAGGTGATTTCCTCTCTAAACACTATAGTATGCCTTGGGAAGGAGAGAGAGGCACTTATGACAAAGATGTTTGTTCTGTTGTTGGAAAAAGGTTAAGTTTAGTCTGATAATTTTCAAATCTGCAATAGCTTCTTTGATAAATAAAGATAAGACATCAAATAAACAAAACCCCAAGAAATACTTTTGAATTAATTTGGTGTCCTTGTGTCAATTGTAAAAATTTTGACTGCAAATCTTCTTCATTCTGACTGCATATGGGTCTAATTGTAGTTTCAAAATGTGATGTGAATGGTCTATTTACCTCTGTGGAAAAGAAACCTGATGTGGTCCAGCTAGCTGTTTGTATTAAATGAAAATCTTTCAACTTCGCTTTGTAACAAAATCAAGCAAAAATTTGGGTGCGTTGTAAAACTACTAGTAGGAGGTAAGAAAAAATCTGACGCAGAGGTTGGGTTGTCAATGATTTGGCCTGTATTTAGGGGTAAGACCCCAGAGGTTCTGGCACAGATTGTCCCTACTTACTGGAAAAGGGAGGATTACTGTCTTGCGTATGCTAAATAATATGAATGAGAATAAACAGAACTATTAATGAGGCACAGAGAATCCTTAATTTACCTACACTGTTAGAAAACCTGTTAAATTCAGAGGATGAACTGAAATAATACTAAATTTTGTGAAAGTAGAGCAGGCATATCTTTTTACAAAGGAAATTCACCAATTTGAATTTGTTTATGCCTGACAAAATATTTTATTGCAGGAGATGTGTATGCAATTTATTATGTTACGTTCTAATTGTAGTGTGAACAATAAATGCAACTTTAAAAAGGACCATCAAATACATCCAGGTATATCTGTGGTATTATTCGTGGATATACTGTAAGCGGTTTCTGAGAAAGGACTGTAGTTTTGGGCCCTTATTTTTATCTTCAGGTTCACATTTGCTCTTCTTACTCTCCATTAATAGGTAGCATAGATCAGTCAGTGTTAAAGGAGTTGCCTCCTGAGCTCCTGGCAGAAATTGAATCCACCATGCCACTTTGTGAACGTGTGAAAATGAACAAGCGCAAACGTAGCACAGTTAATGAGAAACCAAAATATGCTGAAATCAGTTCTGATGAAGACAATGACAGTGAAGAAGCTTTTGAATGTAAGTAGTACATCGTTCTGTTCCTACTCCTAAAGAAGGCTAATATTTTGCTTTTACAAAACTTTTCCTAATTACTTATGGGAAGGCGCTGCCTACATTTTTTTTTTTTTTTTTCAATTGTACGAGGAAACATTTTTAGTCAATCAGATTAAGGAAAATATCCTCTAAAGCAACACGGAAAACTTGCATACAAAGGTATGCAAAGAAAAATTTCAGTAAATAAATTTTAAATTATTCTTAGTTTTATTGATAAGAAAAGTGAAGGATCCCCTCTTGAATTTTTCTGTCATGATAAATTGAGAATCTTACTGCCCAGAATTTTCTTAAAATATTTCTTCTTTTATTGTTTCTCTGGCATATTGCTTGAAAAACTGGAGTTGCTTTTGACAAGTTCTCAAAATACCATTTGCTGATGATATTCTTGAATTAACTGCTTTCAAAGGAAGAGAGGAAGCTTGTAGTTAGAATTTTGCTGTGCAATCGAATAAAGTTCCTAATTGTCAAAAAATTGTTATATGCTTCTAAGTTAGGAAGGGATTTCCTACTTGCTAATAAGAGTATGGTTAGTTTGTCAATATGGTAGGTCAGTTAGCCATCACTGAAAAGAAACTATTAAAACAGAGTGAGTCAGTTCAGTCTGAGTTAATATTGTCACTGTGTTACCCATGCAGGGCTACAGGAGAAGTGCCTATTGCTGGTAACGTGAGAAGGCACCTTGCTTATAATGATTTTTTCCCAAGTTTAGACTCTTTCCACCTTTGCTTATATAAACATCTTACTGAACTTTTGTAAAACACAATGTTTTGGTTTTTAGTCTTTCTTAGGGTCCAAAAGAGAAAGATTTGTTTGTTCGGCTTTTTAATGTGTTTCAAGTTCTCGTCCAACAGATATGCAGTGCTTATGCACACATACACATGAAAATTATAATAGCAATACCTCTAATCTTTATCAAAGAAGCAGAAAAGAATGTCCTTTTGTTTGTTTGTTTTTCCTTTTAATTACAACTGAATAATGCTGCTTTGAATGTGAGTATGAAATCTTGAGGTTATTTGTAATCAGTCTTGATTATGGCAAAGGATTACTGATGATTTGCTTCATTCAGAATTCTGTAGTCTCTGTTTACTTTATCATATCACCTGTTTATGATGTTAATGATCTGGAACAGTGAATTAAAAAAATAAATAAGTAAAGCAAAATTATTTAGGTTGGTTGGGAATGGAGAGAATTGTCAAGAATTTCAGATACTTTAATCTACCTATTAACCATAGTGCCTGTTGAAATTCTTAAATACAAGGTAAAGCAAATTAAGGAAAACTTTCACAGTAATTGTACACTTTAAGGGATTCTATGTTCATTATATCCACTCAAGAGATCTTGCCATCATTCTAAACAGTTCAGTGAGGACATGTGGTTTAAAAATAAATTATAATATTTCTCAAGGGATACTGTAGAACTGAATTTAATTGAAACGAGACAAAATGATCAAGAGAATGAAAGATTTGTGACAAGTACACTGAATAGATTTGTATTGTAACAGGTATGTATTTCAGAATTCTTTTGGATGTCTAAAATTGAACTTTAAAAAAAATGGAAGAGTGATTGTTATAGAACAAGAGAAATGTCTTTGAGTATCTCATGAAGAAGGGACATTCCAGTAAATTAAATTATGAGAAATTAAAAATTGATGAAATCGTTCTCATACAATAAGTGCTAAATGTATTATTGCATAAATGTTTGGCAGAATTCAGAAAGAAACTGGGTATTTATATTCTGAACCGTCTTTATGTATAAAATCAATAATAACTCTTGAAATGTTACTAATCTTAAATCTTTAGTTGATTTTATCTACTTCAAAATAAACTTTGTAGAGCAGTGGTTGTGAAAAGCTGTTCACATGTTCATCTTATTTGCCTTGCAGAGCCAGCACAACTGTAACACATTCTGTTTTGTCATGCACCATTGATAAACTGGTCAATTTAAAATTCTGCTGAAAGGCAATATTGGAAGTTACTTTTCTCACGGAGATGTAGCTGGGGTCAGAATTCATTCTACAGAGTTTAAATTGATACTGATGTTTTGTAAACTGTGGAGACAGATGTCATCTGCTTCCACAAAATACCGTCTCATGGGGGAAAAAGAATCAGTTAAGATGTGTACAGTCTTTTCCCATAAAACACTTACTTTCTTCTCCAATATGCTCACTCCAGGTATCCAAGATGGCCCTCCCTTTCTTCAGTCACAGTTAACTCTCAAACACTTTAGACAGTGTTAGTAGCTCAGGCATCATGAACATGACTGTACTGCCGCCAGAAGCAAGACTGATCCAGAAGCAGTACAGCTCAAAGCCTGAACTGAGTTATTACCTTAAAGACTTGGACCACCTCTGTGCAGAAGTTTGGTACTACATTTTCAGAAGTGGGAGCCCCCTAGGGTGCAGTGCAGAGCATTAGCATTGCCTCAGGTTTCATATTTCTTTTATTAATTCTGAGCCTGGGCTGACTATTGACTATATCCTGGCATGTATACCAGGTGTGACTATGTCCTGGTATGTTTCCTATGCTTCTTAATAAACTGGGGTTCTAGGAAGAACTTGTCAGTTCAGTTCCAGTTCTGTATGAATGCTTGGAGCTATTTTGCTCAGAAACAACCCTACATACAGTCATACCTTTCTAAACTTCAGGAGACTTTGGTAGAGATACACAGATGTCAGGGCTGTTACATGCAGGTTCACACGAATAAACTCTGCTAGTCTAGAATGTGATGTTTTGGAGCTTCAGATCTTCACAGCACAGTCTCTGTGCTAGCCCAGTTATCCTGTTATATTAGATAATGGAGTGTTGGCTGATGTCACAGATGAAGCTACCTCCTCCTCCGTATCCTTTTTCTATTACATCTTAGCACCCTCTCTCCTTTAAGACACACAAGACTTTATTTGAAAATAACAGAGAACTTTCCATTCCGTTCCCCCACTTTATTTCCACCAAATTTCTGTTTCTGTATAAAACGTTTATCCCTGTTTCTTCAACATCCACTTCTGCTGGGCTTTTTGGTCCTGACTGAAAACTGATTATAATAACCTTCTGTGGTACTGACTTGCTGTCTAGCCCAGAATTGTGACTCCAGCTTTCTCCTTTACACTGAATTTCCTGCAATATATATCAAGACAAAATTTTAGTTGTCTTGGCAAAACAGAATATCTTTAAGCAACTAGACTGCCAAGTCTCATTGGAACTTGCTGTGTTAAATGGGCAAAGCAATCGCTGAATTGGAAAATGGACACCCAGTAATAGTCACAATTCAGATAACTGAAGAAATTATCTCAATGTTCTCTTATGAAAGGATGAAACTTATTTTGATTTGTTCCACTTCTCTTACTTTGCTTAAAAGGACAAATGCCCTGTGAATTTGTATTTTTAAATGTTTGCTGGTGTCTTTGCCAGTTTCAGGCATAGTTTTCATGTAATGCAAAAGAAATTGTTAGAATAATGCCATAATAGAAATCTATATAATAGTTTTAGAGTGTTCACTTGTTTTACAGAACAAGTATAGAACAGTGTTTAACTTACAAATTATAGAATCACAAAATCATTTAGGTTGGAAAAGACCATTAAGATCATCAAGTCCAACCGTAAACCTAATACTGCCAAGTCCACCACTAAATCTTATCCCTAAGTGCCACATCTACATGTCTTTTAAATGTTTTAAAATGTTTAATTTTGAGCTATTAAAAGTAGAATTTTTGTACTTCTAATGAAAATGTATTTCATTTCTAGCTTCTCGTAAAAGACATAAAAAGGATCGAGATGAAGCTTGGGAATATGAAGAACACGACAGAAGAAGTTCTGGTGACCATAGGAGAAGTGCTCATTATCATGAAGGAAGGAGGACTTCTGGTAGTGGCCGTTACCGTAATCGCAGTCCCGATGACTCTGATATGGATGATTATTCTCCTCCCCCTAGCCTCAGCGAGGGTAACTGATCATTTTAAAAATTTAATTTTATTCCATAATATTAGTGCATTTTTAATGGATATGTTAAACATTTTAAAATAAACATCTTTACATGCAGTATTGAATACAAGTGTAAGAAATGTAAATAATAATTTCATTTTTGAGAGAGTATTTGTTTCACTCTTTATTGTCTTAATTAGTGGCTAGAAAAATGAAGAAAAAAGAAAAACAAAAGAAGAGGAAAGCTTATGAACCTAAACTAACACCTGAAGGTAATTTTAGAAAATATATTTTCCACAGTTTGTATTTTCTGTTTTGTACATAAAATAATTATTTATAAACTTCTTTTTTCACCAGAAATGATGGATTCTTCGACTTTCAAAAGGTTTACTGCTTCAATAGAGAATATTCTGGAAAATTTGGAAGACATGGATTTTACAGCTTTTGGTAATATGTCAGAAATTTTCAAAATGCTTTCACCAATTAGAAACACAAGAAACACCCAAAACTTTGTATCTCAGTATTTTTGAACTTACTTCTTGGTGATTTAATTGCCTGTGACACATGCTAGGGCATACTGCATGTATATAGCTTCCACCTTGAGTGGTGGCCTTTACCTTTCCAATTTCACTTACTGCTGGAGGAAGAAGATCCTCCTTCCTCCTCCCTCCAGAATCCAAAAGGGGCATAAATCATACAAGACAAATAGTATTCCCCTGGAGTGGAAACAATACCTCTTTGGGATGTCATTAGGGTGTTATCTTCTGTCAAACATGTCTGTAAACAACACTACTGTAAGATGGTTCACTTGCTAGTAATGTCTGAGCCACATAATTTTGCATCTGTTGTGGCCTTTGAACCAACATAGCTTGATTATTCGGTTCAAGCAGCAGAGTCCTTAGGCATTTATGGCTGAGGCACTGAATCGCTGTGTGCTTCTTATCCATTTCAGTGGAAAACCAGCCAGCTTAGCATAACTGTCTGAGGAAGCAGTTCAAGTTGACCAAGATGACATTCTATTGAAATGAATAATAGAGTATTCATTAATTTTTTTCCTACCATCTTCGTCACAGGATTAGAACAAGGGGAGAAGCATACTAAACAAATCACTACAGTTTTTAAAGCAATAGCATATACAACCTTGGACTTAAAAGTGAAGTCATTGGTTCTTTCTGTGTCTGGTAACATTATGGGGTTTTTTGTAAGGGCAACTATGATTAAGACACAGTGTATCCCAAGGTACTTAAATTCATATGTGTTTTTCATCTATTGCCCTCCCCCCGATTTGAACTTTAGAATTAGGACTACATTTAAGATTTGTTTTACTGAAATGAGAGTGATGGCACAAGAGCTGCAATAAATGGGTTTTGCTATATTAAAAGTTTTTAATTTATGACTTTCAGAAATGGATGCCTCATGTTAGGCTGTTAAATGGTATTTCAGAACCAGTCATATTTAACAAGTAGTCGTTGTTTTAACATGACCAAAAGTTGTCATCATTAGTCTTCATTAGATGGAACTATTAGATGCTAACTATTTGGAACTATTACATGCTAGCTATTTGGAAAATCAGCTCTTATTCTTCAGTTGCTTTTTCATATTGGCTATAAAATACTGATTTTCTTGAAGTCTAATTAGAAATATGATTGTTAATTTTTTGATTTTTTTTTTTTTTTTTTTAAAGGGGATATTTGAAATCTTATTATAAAAATTATTTTTTATTTTTTTTTTTTTTTTTTTTTTTTTTAAAGGTGATGATGATGAGATTCCACAGGAATTGCTACTGGGAAAACATCAGCTTAGTGAGTTGGGTAGTGAATCTGCAAAAATCAAGGCAATGGGCATTATGGACAAGGTACATCTTCATAGTCTTTAACTCTTTTTGAACCTATAACTTTGATAAACTACAAAAACTTACGTCCCCTGTAATAACATTCCACCTTCTTTAGGTGTGCATGTTACAGATACTGTGAACACTTGTGCTTCTGCTGACAGCTGAAGTGCTGAAAAAGTTACCACATCTTAACTGTTGCTGTCTCTGAAGCTGAGACGTTTTTGTTGAATGGTCCTTCTCTGTGTCAGTGCTGACTATATGCCAATATGTAGTACCCATGCCTGAGTGGTAAAATGTAAAATAATTAATCGACTTCCATAAAAGCACGTCATCCTATAGGCTTTGCTCCTTACAGCTGATGCTGAGCAACCACAGTAAATCAGAACCTGATGGCAAAGTAAAAAAATCCACCCTTTCTGATACATGCCATCAGTGTAAATGTATGCTGTCCAGCAGGGATCACACTGAATTGCCTGCTTCCTCCGCCTCTCCCAAAAGGCCTTTCAGACTTAGAAGATTTAACACCCCAGGTGATAACGATTCATTTTCTGTAGACTGCATACTGTGATTTCTTTGCCGTACTCTTCCTGACTTCAGTTCAAGGGAACTTTTCTTGGTGCGAACTGTTGGTATCACACCTCTAGAAACAATGTTCTTGCTTTCCTTATCTTCCTGGAACTCTTGACTTTGGGCAGTCTCATGTTAAAGTCTTACTCTGCCTGCTCATGACCATTTACTGTGTTTGTAAAGTGTCTGTGAAGCTACTTATTATAAGCCACTCTGAATGGTTTTCTTTAATCCAAAATTTAGATATTCTTCCTGGACTTCTCTTCTCTCTCTCTACCTTCCGTTGTAGCGTGCTGTCAGCCTGAGTGTTTCTCTTTCCTGATAGTTCTCACCCTTAACCTCTGTTCTCTATTTTTCACACATACATACATACATACATATATGTATATGTAAAATCAGAATTTTGTTGTTTCTAAAGGTGAGTGCCAATAGTATCTGGATGAGTGAAACTGTCTCTCCTCAAGTTTAGCATATTCTACAAATTATTTAATCATAATTCTGTAGAAGATCAGTAAGTTTGAGTTACTTTTTTCAACATGCTAGTTATTCAAAGTTAACACTAATATTAAGAATACATTTCCTTTTTATTTGCACTCAGGTACCAGGGAATTTTATTTCTGCTTGTTCATGGAATCTGGATTTTCTCCTAATAAAGCTCTATATGGTCAGTTAGAATTTGTGGTTGATACTTGGATTTGGTAAATTTCTGTTTCTAGAAGCCAAAGTGAGTTACGATACAACATTAGTGACAAATATGCAATTTTAAATCCATTTTTGTGGATCTTGCTGGTTGAAAATGCAGTTTGATTGCAATCATAGAATATATTTCACCTAGTTTAGTTGTATTGTCAGCATTCTCAGTCGTGCTGTGTCAGAAACCACGGAAGTCAAGATCCCTTCCTTATCTCGAATTGCTTACAATTTAAGTGTTTCAGATTATATAACAAGTTCTATCCTTCATCCATTTCAACAATTTGGAAGTCTTTATGTTCCTGTAGTTGTTTAATGTGGTTTTTTTCTTGTTTTAGCTCTCAACAGATAAAACAGTGAAAGTCCTGAATATATTGGAGAAGAATATTCAAGATGGATCAAAGCTTTCTACGTTACTTAACCATGTGAGTTTCAAATTACATAATTTCACAACATTGTGTAGAATAGAGTTTCTTTGCTTGCATCCTATTTAGTGATGGTTTTAAATACTCTGCGTGTGTGTGAAAGGAATTTCTGATGTGTATGTGATTGAGATTGCCAAATTTTAAGCTTTGAAGTAAAATACAATTGGTTATATTTTTTCAGTACTAAACATGTTTTATTATAGTACTGATAACTTTTGTTTCAATTTTAAATATTATAATTTCATCCTGAAATACTCATGGTAACTGGTGTAATTTGCACCATTAGACATTTCTTTGCTACATGTCCAAAAAACATCCCTTACACAATGAAAGAAGTACTACAGCTTTCATGTAGAGCATATTCTTCTCCTGAGCATTAAGAAAGGAGGAAGCACTTTGTTTAGGTCTGTTCTTACACTGCAAAGTTAAAGTTGTCAACGTAAACAAAACTAACAGGAAGTTTAAGATTTTAGGGTTTTTTTCCTGATATACCTAAAACTCTGTGGGGAGTTTTTATGAAGTTGATATGTGATATTTCACATTTCATATATTTCTTTCTTTCTGCACTTTCTAATCAAAGACATATTCTAGTAAGAATAGAGTTCTTGAGTTTTATGGAAAAAAAATTCCTTGATCTGCAGAATTAGAGAGTATTTATTTATATTGGAAAGGAAGAATTTGAACTTACAAATGAAAATCAGAGACATATAATTTGTACCTAAATACCTTCATCTAGATAGTTTGTAGGGTTTTTAAAGTTTCAGTATGTGGTTTGGAATGTCTTCAGCAAAATGAAAAATAAGTGAAAAGAAGGTGCTGGTTTACCTGCTCTACTTTACTGTAATTAAGTCTTTGTGCTAATGCTTTTAAAGTGATATTTTTCTTTTAGCTTTCTGTAGTAAAACTCAAGATTATTAAGCAATTAATGAAATTGTCCAATGCTTGCCAACTCAGAGATAAAGCTTCAAGTGAAAAAAGAAGCAATCTTTAGCCAAAAAAGTTTTGGATTTTTTCTTAAAACCTATTAAACATGATTGAAATCATTACGGCAAAGAAAGCCCTTGCTAAGGAGTAAGCTGACTTCTTTTACAGTGCTGTGAAGGTATCCTACCTCTATGTCAGGATGTTTGTCAGAGGCAGAGTGCACTTGCATATTCTTTTTATTTCCAAGATCAATCAGCAAAAAAAATAGAAAATATTTAAAACTACTAGGGTTTTTTAAGCCTCATTTGCATAAGGAACAAATGGCTTAAAGCCATTCTATGCAGGAAATTTACAGGGATCTCCTGACTTGCAGATTTCTGTTGATTTTACAAATACATATATCATATATATAATCCACTGTGAAATTGTTTTAGATTCTCTTACCCAAAGGGCATAAGTTGATATGGTTTCACCAACCCCTTATTTTTACAGGGCAAGCCAACAGTGTTGAACTATGGTGTCATATAGGCAGGAAAGATTCTTTTTCTCTGTAGGCTATATCTGTACCAGAGAAGCAATGAAAAATTTTACTAGCTTTTGCTATGAATAATGTTATAATAATATTTAAGTAGTGTTGGGTGGTCATAATTAACCTCATGTATGTTTGTTTTTGTAATTTGTACAAACACAGAAATACAGAGATTCTGCACCCCGTGCTATTTCTAAATAGACATATTTGATAAGACATGTTTTAAACTCATTGATAAGCAGAGAAAGTGAAGCAGAGAGTCGTGTACTTACGAGTTTCATGTGACTTGTAACAGTCTTTTTGTGTAAGAATTCCCTCTAGCGGCAAAAATTAGATTGATCAAAACAGCAACTGGTGTGCATAGGCCACTGAAGAAAACACTAGATGAATCAGTTTAGATGTTGCTTAAGGTACACCAGTTTTAAGTAGAGTATGTGGCAATCTTCCCTCATAGTGCTTCCCAATGATACACAGAAAGCTTCTTTGTGTTCTAGTAGAAGAATAGTGAGACTTTGAAGACTTGTAACTTAGGGAGACATATTACAAACATGTTGCTAGTAAAACAAACATTAGCTGATTTCTAAAACAAACTATTTTTGTATCAAAAAGGAAATACAACGTTTTATACACATGTGTATGTAAGTATATTAAGGTAATGTTATTATCTTTTACTTGGTAAGGATAAAAATTTGAATTCTTGTTCACACTATCCTGTTTTTCTTGACTGTTGCAGAACAATGACACTGAAGATGAGGAGAGATTATGGAGAGATCTTATTATGGAACGAGAGATTATTAAGCAATTAATGAAATTGTCCAATGCTTGCCAACTCAGAGATAAAGCTTCAAGTGAAAAAAGAAGCAATCTTTAGCCAAAAAAGTTTTGGATTTTTTCTTAAAACCTATTAAACATGATTGAAATCATTACGGCAAAGAAAGCCCTTGCTAAGGAGTAAGCTGACTTCTTTTACAGTGCTGTGAAGGTATCCTACCTCTATGTCAGGATGTTTGTCAGAGGCAGAGTGCACTTGCATATTCTTTTTATTTCCAAGATCAATCAGCAAAAAAAATAGAAAATATTTAAAACTACTAGGGTTTTTTAAGCCTCATTTGCATAAGGAACAAATGGCTTAAAGCCATTCTATGCAGGAAATTTACAGGGATCTCCTGACTTGCAGATTTCTGTTGATTTTACAAATACATATATCATATATATAATCCACTGTGAAATTGTTTTAGATTCTCTTACCCAAAGGGCATAAGTTGATATGGTTTCACCAACCCCTTATTTTTACAGGGCAAGCCAACAGTGTTGAACTATGGTGTCATATAGGCAGGAAAGATTCATTTTCTCTGTAGGCTATATCTGTACCAGAGAAGCAATGAAAAATTTTACTAGCTTTTGCTATGAATAATGTTATAATAATATTTAAGTAGTGTTGGGTGGTCATAATTAACCTCATGTATGTTTGTTTTTGTAATTTGTACAAACACAGAAATACAGAGATTCTGCACCCCGTGCTATTTCTAAATAGACATATTTGATAAGACATGTTTTAAACTCATTGATAAGCAGAGAAAGTGAAGCAGAGAGTCGTGTACTTACGAGTTTCATGTGACTTGTAACAGTCTTTTTGTGTAAGAATTCCCTCTAGCGGCAAAAATTAGATTGATCAAAACAGCAACTGGTGTGCATAGGCCACTGAAGAAAACACTAGATGAATCAGTTTAGATGTTGCTTAAGGTACACCAGTTTTAAGTAGAGTATGTGGCAATCTTCCCTCATAGTGCTTCCCAATGATACACAGAAAGCTTCTTTGTGTTCTAGTAGAAGAATAGTGAGACTTTGAAGACTTGTAACTTAGGGAGACATATTACAAACATGTTGCTAGTAAAACAAACATTAGCTGATTTCTAAAACAAACTATTTTTGTATCAAAAAGGAAATACAACGTTTTATACACATGTGTATGTAAGTATATTAAGGTAATGTTATTATCTTTTACTTGGTAAGGATAAAAATTTGAATTCTTGTTCACACTATCCTGTTTTTCTTGACTGTTGCAGAACAATGACACTGAAGATGAGGAGAGATTATGGAGAGATCTTATTATGGAACGAGTGACAAAATCTGCTGATGCTTGTCTTACTGCTATCAATATTATGACATCACCAAACATGCCTAAAGCTGTATATATTGAGGACGTAATAGAAAGAGTTATTCAATACACAAAATTTCATTTGCAGAACACTCTTTATCCTCAGTATGATCCTGTGTATAGGGTGGATCCTCATGGTGGTTAGTATGCTAAGAAATTTTTAAAAATCTTTCCACATTAAAAAATATCAAAACACAACCTACTATATGGTGATGCAAGTGATCGGACTTTCTGGGATAAGATTTTTATATGCAACTCTTATGCTGATAGTTCTTCCATATCACATACAGCATCTGGAATTAATACGTTATGTTACTTTGAGGATGATGAAATGCAGAGTGAAAAAAAAAAATGAATGAAATGTGTCCTCTGAATAACTTAGTCATACATCTTGGTTTACTGCAATAATGTCAGTGTAACCAAAGTATTTAGACAAAAGTATTTAGAAGTTTGTCTGAAGTTCAGCTTCTGTGTATAGTTATAATATGTAGGAATAAGTTATTTTATAGTCATAATCTCTGTGTATATAATGATTTATTTCAATGAAAACTATTTAGTATTTGGCATTTTGTTGTCACATGCATACCTTTAGATGGGGGTGTCAATAACCTTTTTAGAAATCTTGGATCCAGAATTTAGAGCAATTATGAAAAATTAATATCATGTGAAATTCTTGCTTTCCAGCTGCTACTAAATAGTTTTTCTTCTGTAAGCAATTACTTTTACAAAGGTGTATTCATGCAGTTGTTTTGGGGACACTTTTTGAGGAAGATCGTATTTCTAATATTTTATGTGAAACATTGAAAAAATTAATGAAGATATTTTTTATTTTCTAGGTGGTGTTTTAAGTTCAAAAGCAAAACGTGCCAAGTGTTCCACCCACAAGCAAAGAGTTATAGTGATGTTGTATAACAAAGTTTGTGACATTGTTAGCAGCTTGTCAGAATTGCTAGAAATACAGCTTCTTACTGATACAACTATTCTTCAGGTAAGTTTTATCAGAAGAATTTCTGCCTGAGAATGTTTGTTTTTGTTTTCCCAGAGAGAATGTAAAGTATGATTGTCTCAGTGAGATGAAGTATGGAACCAGTACAAACTTTTGAATTATTAACATCAGTGACTAGTTTGTTGTGTAGCAGGTGATCTGCAGGAGAAGAGCATCTAATGGTCAAATCTTTAACGGCTTTTCTTGTACACTTAAGAAAAGTTTAACCTCATTTTATTAAAAAATAGAGTCATAGAATCACTTAGGTTGGAAAAGACCCTTAAGATCATCAGGTCTGACTGTTAACCTAACACTGCCAAGTCCACCACTAAACCATGTCCCCAAGCGCCACTTCTACACTTCTTTAAAATACCTCCAGGGATGGGGACTCAACCATGGGCAGCCTGTTCCAGTGCTTCACAACCCTTCCAGTGAAGAGGTTTTTCCTAATCCAACCCAAACCTGCCCTGGCACAACTTGAGGCTGTTTCCTGTTGTCCTACTGCTTGTTACTAGGGAGAAGAGGCCAACCGCCACCTCGCTACAACCTCCTTTCAGGTAGTTGTAGAGAGCAATAAGGTCTCTCCTCAGCCTCCTCTTCTCCAGGCTAAACAA